TTTCTTCTCTTTCTGTCAGTCTTTCTTTCATCCATTATTTCTTGTGTTGTTTTATATTATTTATGGGGATATGTTTAAACCAGGCTTGTATGAAAAATGATGACAGTGCTAGGAAACATCCAGAATCTGCCCAAGAACATTTGTTAAGATTTCTCATTTTTCGTTAAAACTTGTCATTGCCTCCATAAGTATAGTTTTTTTTGGCTGCCCACAAACTGACTCTTGGGAAACTAATGTACTTTTGGGGAACTAATGTACTCTTTGGGAACTAATGTACTCTTGGGGAGCTAATGTACTCTTGGGGAACTAATGTACTCTTGGGGAACTAATGTACTCTTGGGGAACTAATGTACTGTTGGGGAGCTTATGTACTGTTGGGGAGCTTATGTACTCTTGGGGAACTAGTGTACTCTTGGGGAACTAATATACTCTTGCGGAACTAATGTACTCTTGCGGAACTAATGTACTCTTGGGGAACTAATGTACTCTTGGGGAACTAATGTGGTAGTTTTCTCTTAGTGTCCTCATTGTTAGAATGCCAGCAGTGTTCTACTGTAAGTACATTTTGCAAAGTACATCAAGTACACTGTGCTTATATTATTTCATAAATAGGCCTAATCCCACCCCACCCCCACCCCTTTTTTCCCCAGTCCTTATCTGAGGTGGTTAGGCTTCAGATATACTCCTTATTTAGGAAAGGAAATATACTTAACTGTTTGTTTATTGTCTGTGCCCAAATAATATCTGCAAAGACATTATTTAAGAAAATCCTTAGAAAGCGTGACAAGAACATTAGATGTTCTTTAGAAAGTACAAGAACATTGGATGTTTCTTAGGAAGTGACATTGGATGTTTCTTAGGAAGTGACAAGAACATTGGATGTTCCTTAGAAAGTGACAAGAACATTGGATGTTTCTTAGGAAGTGACAAGAACATTGGATGTTTCTTAGGAAGTGACAAGAACATTTGATGTTTCTTAGGAAGTGACAAGAACATTGGATGTTTCTTAGGAAGTGACAAGAACATTAGATGTTCCTTAGAAAGTGACGAGAACATTGGATGTATGTGGCATGGTTTTATTTTTTTTTATATACACCGGGTAGCCGAGGAATGTGGGGAAATCAAGCTGGTCTTGTGTGATTAGAAAGTAAGAGTTTTGCGTTCTGTATCAGGTGGGACCCCAGTCAAGTGGCAAGACCAGTCTGGTGAAGCTGTTGTCAAAGCTCACAAGTCATGCCTTGTGTGTGCTGCCAATGAACAGTTCTATGGATACTACAGAACTGCTTGGAGGCTTTGAGCAGGTTAGTTGTTGTTATTCTTGGTTGGTTGGGTTTCTTCTTCTTCTTTTCTTCCACCTTGTACCTTGTGTTGAAGGGGGGTGGGGTAACAATCATTGATGAGCGCTGTCAAGATCACTATTAAGACTGATGTTAATTTCTGTAAGGCTGCCGTCACTCCGTATTTTCGAGGTCTTCCACTTGCCCTATACCTGTTGTAGTGTGGCTTGCTGTGGCAGATAGTACAAGGGCATTCTTGTTAGGTGTCCAAACCACTTCATTTGTTCTTTGATGACCTGTAAGACTGGCTTTATTCCTAGCATTCGTCTAATTTTGTGATTTCGTATTCTGTCTTTCCTTGAAACTCCTGCAGCTCTTCTAAAGCTGGTTTATTTTAAAGGAGTATAAAAGGCAAAAGAGCATACCTCCATCGAATGGGTCTTGCTAACTCTGCTGCATCTAGTTGTGGCTCGCCGAAAGACTCCAGAGCATGTCTTACAGCACAGCTGTTCAACTGGTGGCCTGCGGGCCTGATTTGGGGATGGGAGCGGGGTGTGTTTGTACAGTTGTCGTGGCCAGTTCCTATCTGGATCACCATTGAGGCTTTGCCGATCCTATAGCCGTACTGGTCAGAAGAACTGCCACTGCCGGATGTTGAACCTGCACTACAGTCTCAGCAGGCAGGAACACTAACTGCTGTGTCACGGTGACATACTAGACAAGTACAACCGAGAAAATAAACTGATTTAAAACAAAAAGTGCAAATATTTAGAGAATACCGTTTATATGTTTTTATGTGTATTGCAAAAATCAAGAGAGAGACTTCAGAAGTAGTGTTTGTACAAGTGGTAAAACATCAAATCACAGACCTCGGAAATACTGCTCCTCACAATAACTAATGAAACATCAAATCACAGACTAAAAAAAAAAAGCATTTATACAAAGGATGTATGATCAAATCACAGACCTCGGAAATACAGTTCTTGCAATAAGTGATAAAACATCAAATCATAGACCTCAGCAATAGCATTCTTGCAGTAAGTGATAAAACATCAATTTTCTGACTTACACATGTAATCCACTTTCATCAGTAATTTTGTGATTATTTTATATAATTCACTTTCATCAGTATTTTTGCATTTTATGTCACACATAATCCACTTTCACCAGTAATTTTGCATTTGAAATCTCACATAATCTACTTTCACCAGTATTTTTGCATTTTATATCTCACATAATCCACTTTCACCAGTATTTTTGCAATTGATATCACACATAATCCACTTTCACTAGTATTTTTGCATTTGATATCTCACATAAACCACTTTCACTAGTATTTTTGCATTTGATATCTCACATAATCCACTTTCACCAGTATTTCTGTTTTTGACTATCTACATATTAGGTTGTTACATGTCTGAAGCAAGTTAAGGAATTCAAATATCTAGGATGTATTTTCTTCAACCTCTTCAGCAGCCAACTTAACCATTTGTGACAGAGTTATAAATGATTTTATCAGACAGACTAGGAACAAAAAAATGCAGCAAATTCATAGAGAAACAGAAGATAAAATGATTTGGTCATAGTAATAATGCAGCTAGAACAACTACCAACACATGAAAAGATCTAAAGTGAAAGCAAGAGGCCACCCTAGGAGATGATGATAGGACTGATGATATTATCTCACACAAGGACTTTTATCAGTGTCTCTGTAGTTGAGTTTCTTACATAATCCACATTAAAATTTTTTTCCCAAGTTAATGATATTTCATAGTCAGCTTTCACCATATTTCTGTATTTGAAAATACCTTACATAATCAGTATTTCTGCAGTATAAATGTTCTTACTTGAACCATTTTTAATTATTATATCTGTCTGTTGAAGACACATAGTAAAGTGTCATCTGTATTTTGGTTGGGAGAGGAGGAAGGAATTACTTAATGTACTTTAATTATTTCTGTATCTGAAAACATGAGGAAATTACTTAATGTACTTTAATTATTTCTGTATCTGAAAATATTAGGAAATTACTTAATGTACTTTAATTATTTCTGTATCTAAAAATATGAGGAAATTACTTAATGTACTTTAATTATTTCTGTATCTGAAAATATCACACATAATCCACTTTCGTCAATGTTTCTATACTTGAAAATTTTCTGTATTTCTGAAAACATGAGGAAATTACATCAATGTTTTTTTTTCTGTATCTCATAAATATCCAGGAGAATTACTGTAATGTATTTAACATTATCCACATATTCATCTGAATAATATCACACATAATCCACTTCCGTCCGTGTTTTTTACGAATATCTAGAAAATTACATTTCTGTATATTGTGTAGTTTCACCAAAAATCTCATAATCCACTTTCATTACTAGTTTTTTTTTTTGAAAATGCTCATATAATCCACTTCCATCAGGATTTCTGTAATTGAAATATTTCACATAATCCACATATTCAGTATTGATATAGTTGAAATCTCATTTAATCCACTTCCATCCGTGTTTCTGTACGAAAATCTTACACAAATTACATTCAACAATATTGCTTGATTGTTTCACCAAAAATCTATAACTGATAATGTCTTTAGTGTAATTATGTCTGTTAGTTATTGATGCATCTCTGATTGTTAGTAGTAACACTCTGTTGGTGGTATTGTATACTTCGTAAGCAAACAGCTGAGGTGAGGTCAGCTGACATAATCTGTGTTTGAGTTGCATCTTCATGCGTGTTACTAAGGTGAAAATTGAGAGGATGAGCATCGTTGCACCGGTTTTTATCCAACATGGCGCGGTCTCTCTCCGTAGAATGGCTGCCAAAAAGTTGCACAAAGCGCACACTTCCTTAGCTTTGGCTGTGATCGTCAGGGATCTCACGTAAAAATGGCACTCATGAACTGAACGGTGATTCTAGGGAAAAAACTCACGACCCCCAGAGCACAAGGCTTGACCACTTCGCTTAAAGACCATGTTAATTGTCTGATAGTGAGAGTAAGAGTATTTGACCAAGTACAGTCTGATTAGAAACAGATGGTAGAAGTGTAGTTAGTGGTATCTGTTGCACTTCACATGCAGCCAGTTGAGCTGAGACTTGTCTCACTTATCCGTGCTTGACATGCATCTTCATCTATGTTGTTGTTGATGATTATCTCACAGTGAGATGTCGTGGTATCAAGCCTCACAGTGAGATGTCGTATCAAGTCTCACAGTGAGATGTTATGGTATAAAGCCTCACAGTGAGATGTCGTATCAAGCCTCACAGTGAGATGTTATGGTATAAAGCCTCACAGTGAGATGTCGTGGTATCAAGCCTCACATTGAGATGTCGTGGTGTCAAGCCTCACAGTGAGATGTCGTGGTATCAAGCCTCACAGTGAGATGTCGTGGTGTCAAGCCTCACAGTGAGATGTCGTGGTGTCAAGCCTCACAGTGAGATGTCGTGGTGTCAAGCCTCACAGTGAGATGTGGTGGTATCAAGCCTCACATTGAGATGTCTTGGTATCAAGTCTTAAAGTAAGATATCAGGGTATCAAGCCTCACAGTGAGATGTCATGGTATCAAGCCTCACAGTAAGATGTTGTGGTACCAAACCTCACAGTGAGATGTCACGGTACTAAACCTCACAGTGAGATGTCATGGTATTAAGTGTTGTCTGCCTGCAGATGATAGAAGTGATGTCTCTCATTCTTCACATACAATCTGTTCAGCCGAGACTGTCTCACATAATCAGTGTTTGACATGCACCTTCATCCGTGTTGTAATTGATGATTGTCTCACAGTGAGATGTCTGGGTATCACAGCGAATACTTTCAGACTCACTCTCCACATGAATGAGTTCTGGAGAGTCTTCAGAGTGATTGGGTACGAACTGAAAGTTCTCGTTGTGAAACCCAATCCCTCCGCTGGTCTCATACATATGATTGATCTCTTGTCTGATAGCATCCCCGGATCTAGATGCTTTCATGGGCAGGGCATTTGTGTACACATCCTTGGTGACCTTTTCACCTTTTGCAGTGTCATAGTAGATGATGCCACAGAAGATGGGTGTGGTTATAGGGTGTGCCCAGGCCAGAATCATTAGCAGGCGATAGAAATGTGGTGGCTGTTTGTAGTGAACGTCCAGCAGGGTCAGCACGAACAGGGGATACCAGCACACCACAAAAGACACAACCATCCCCATCATTATGATGATTCTTCGGAGATATCGCCGAGACTGCTTGAGCGCCATCTGGGATGAAAGATCATCAAATTCATAATGAACCTCCTCTGTTTGGTCATTATATAACGCATTGTGAGGTGATAAAGAAGATAAAGATTTGTGAAGGAAAGTCCATTTCCGACTCTTAGCGCTTGTTCGTAATTTTCGAAAGAAGTGAAAGAAGCTAATACCAGCGACAACGATCGCTGCAGTGACTAGAATGACCCAGAGTGCATGTATAACATAGTTTTTGGTGACTCCATATCGGTAAATGCAGTTGCCAACATCTTTGCTGTACTCAGAATTTCCCGGCAAGAAGGCAACACCAAGGTGAAGCAGGACGGTGGTGAACCAGGTGATGACAACACCAAAAGCTATACAGCACCCATCTCCGTTCTTACGATAGTTCCGCCTGGATGCGAACGAGCATTGATATTCTTCATTGACCAACAGGGCCAGCAGGTTGTATGCTGAGACTGTCATTAGAAGGATGTAACCAGCCCCCAGGAGATCACAGTGGGGTATGTTGATGTCCAGCAGGAGGCTGTACCCGAAAGGAATGCAAAACCCTGATTTGATTGTGTCCAACAGACAGTGGTGGAACAAAAACGCAGATGACATCTGGCGGAATGTGGGGCAGACGAGTGTGACGACCATTACAAAGATGTTTCCTAAACCACCGATCAGGGCCACAATGAAGAGCAGTGCCCCTTCTGCAGCTGATGGCGGAATGTAGTTTGAAATGTTCCTCTGTGGCACTGCGCTGCCACCATGGCTGATGTCATTGTCATGCAGGGCTGTGTAGGCACTCATGGCTGGATTTTGTTGTGGGGCTGCTGCTGTCAGTGATCATGCAGGTAGACTGGTCTTCACTTTGATGGGTGCAGTCTGTCAAGACTGAATAATATTAACATCAACAACAGCCAGTTCATACTCCTGTGAACAAATAAAATAATTAGTTAGCCAGTGGTCAGTGATATTTTATTGAGAAAATCAAAGAATAGTCACAGGCAAATTACCATACATATCAAAAGAGTTATTTCCCCCTGTGGGTTCCATGCTCTAAGACCACCTGCCATTCTGACAAGCGTGTCATAATGACGACTAATTAAGGATTTAAGTTTCCTGAAATGGGATGTGTTTGAGCCAAAGGGCATAGGTATTGCAGCTTAACTGTAAACCACATCACTCCTTATTAGCCACCCCTTTTAAGAGTGTCTGTGGCTTAGTAATTCCAACGTACAGCGATCGATACCTGCTGCTGGCTGCGTGGATTTTTAATTATGGTATGGGGGCGTCGCAGGTCGACCCAGCCTAAAATGGGTACCAAGATGTATGTCCTGAGGAAGTAAAGATGGCCGGCTTAATGCAACATTACCCACCTAAAAGGCGTGAAAAGCGATCTTTACTTTTTTCTCTTTACCTTGAAGAGTGAAGGCAGTGAAGAATAATTCATTAGGGGAGGTTGGCGCAGACCGGCTACTTTGTCCCTTCATACCTGCCTATTTTGATGTATAAAGATTTAGGTACTAATGTTTTGAAAGCAGGGCTAGTTTGCTCCACAGCAATGACACTGTGTTTACACCCTAGAATAGTAGCGAAATAACAAAGGAAAGTTAAGAAGTCTTCTAAAGTTAAATTAGTTTAATCCTTTACAGAACTTTGTAGAGCCAACCCCAGCATTTTTTAGCTGTTTTGTTGGTTTTACTAGGCAATTTTACCTTTAGTAGCTTGCCACTGAACAACCTGCTCTCAATGCCCCTGTTGTGGTCTTCTTCTGAATCACCCACAGCTGCAATAGAACTGGGTCGCTCAGAACTACGAAGCTTGTTCGCAATGCCCAAGCCACAGATGCCAAACATTTAAAAGCAACCGTTAAAAATTAACCTGCCTTATGTGGTTTTCCAGGGTGTATTAAAGGAGCTCATGATGAAAACACAGGAAAAGTGGTATTTCACTTCCAGGGAGACAAATTTCAAAAGATAAACTTTTTGACACAAACAATATATTGCACAGTTTATTGCGTGGAATATTATGACACAATACATTGCAATTTTTTTTTGCCTGGAATATTATGGCACAACACACTGCACAGTTTTTTGCCTAGAATATTATGACACAATACATTGCTCAGTTTTTTGCCTGGAATATTATGGCACAATACATTGCACGTTTTTTTCCCTGGAATATCATGCCACAATACATTGCAGTTTTTTGCCTGGAATATTATGGCACAATACATTGCACAGTTTTTTGCCTGGAATATTATGGCACAATACATTGCACGTTTTTTTTCCCCTGGAATATTATGGCACAATACATTGCAGTTTTTTGCCTGGAATATTATGGCACAATACGTTGCAGTTTTTTGCCTGGAATATTATGACACAATACATTGCAGTTTTTTGCCTGGAATAATATGACACAAAACATTGCAGTTTTTTTGGGGGCCTGGAATATTATGACACAATACACTGCACAGTTTTTTGCCTGGAATATTATGGCACAATACATTGCTCAGTTTTTTGCCTGGAATATTATGGCACAATACATTGCACGTTTTTTTTTGCCTGGCATATTATGGCACAATACATTGCAGTTTTTTGCCTGGAATATTATGGCACAAAACATTGCACAGTTTTTTGCCTGGAATATTATGGCACAATACATTGCACTGTTTTTTGTCTGGAATATTATGGCACAACACACTGCTCAGTTTTTTTGTCTGGAATATTATGGCACAATACATTGCACAGTTTTTTGCCTGGCATACTTCGCTTATCTGTTCAGGTGCATTATTTCTGAGTTTACTTCAACATACATGATACACAGTAATACATTCTTACAACTGAAATACAATCTCAGTGTTATTTTTACACTACAAATTTAACCATGATCTCTGATTAACCATGTGATCCTTTTGTTTACACAGTGTAGGATTTGACCATATTCCTACTAAAATTTGTGGTAGCAGTTGGAATGTGGATGGACAATACCTCATTGTTACGGGAAAGGTGGAGGGGAAGAGAGACGGAGGGAAGACTAAGAGAAATAATGATGACCATTTTGACATCTTGACATGAAATAGAAGAACATCTATCTCAGAGAGGATTAACAGTACACGAGGCAGAACCCTGTGGACAGAGATGATTGTAAGATGAAAACAGACGGAAATCAGCAGACAGTGTATAACCGAAAAGTACCTCTTAAAAATGTTGGAATTATATACCCTATAAAAAAACATTTCTGTATACATAATTTCAAATATTTCAGTCTGATATATGGCGACACCTGGTTTGATTTCGGCACTTTTGCAAGCCGAAGTGAGACATCTGGGCAAGCAGTACCTGTTGGAGACAGATCCAAAAGACAGGAACTTTCTGAGATTGGTTGAAGCTTGGACAAAGTATAAAACCCTAGCAACAACGAGTGAGTGTTTTTTAAATTAAATCACAGCTAGTGTAATTTTATTTTTTAATAACCTCTCTGGAAACCTTTTGGCACAGACATTCCACCCCCCCCCCCCAAATCCTAACCCCCCCCCCCCCTCCCCCCCGAAAAAAGGTCATTAATAGTTAAATAAAAAAAGGTTTTATTTACATTTGATTTTTAACAAATTATATGAAGGGGAGCAACATGAGCATAGCAATAAACACGAATGAAGATAATCATACGGCTCCAGTCCCTCTGCTACAAAAAAAAAAAATTCATATGGTGACATATACCATGACCCTGATTACTAAATGCTAAAGGAGAATTAGAACGTCATCCTGGCTGCAAAAGAAAAGGCAGTTTTTTTTCACCAGAACCGCACACCCCCCCCCCCCCCCCCCCCCACCCCGACTCGATGCTATTTTTAGTAACTATATTCCTATCTTGTCCGCGACCAAACACTTTGCATGAGGAAACAGAACCAGTACCATTAATTAGGCTTGTTGGAGACTGGCCAGTGCAGTAATGCCGGTTAAACTGTTTTTCTGGGACTTGTTACCGATGGCGATACCGCAGATTAGCAGCTTCTCAGGACCAAAGGGTTAAAGTTACGCTGGTAAATATTGTTATCTGCTTTGTTATCCTAATCGTTTTTTGTTTTTTTAAATATACAGACAGCCTCTGTATTCTCATTGCAGCCATATTAAGCATGTTTTTTTTTTTTTAAATTATCTTAAAATTTGGACACAATCTCCCTGGTAGGTTGGCTAGCACCTCAATGTTTTGTTGCCACATGTTTTGTTCAGTTGGTCAGAGGAGCATCTTGCAGAACGGTTGAAATGATGGGCTGTCATTTAGGATGGCCGGCTTAGATTTCTTTCTAATATGATGGGTCTTGCACAGTTTAGAGCTGAATGCACTATCAATGTGAGCTTAAATGCACGACACCGTCCTTGAAAAAGGTATAGCAAAGACAGCAAAAGAAAATGTTTTGTTTGTAATTTAAGCTGATAATATTCAGCTTATGGTGTTGAGATTCTTTTTTAGCTTTACTGGTATCTTTTTTAAAATCTAATTTTGAAGGCTTTATGATATGTTAATTTTTCTTGAACAGATATTACAATGCTGGCTTTCTTTCTTACAGACAGGTTGTCAGAAGTTCGACTCCTCCTGTCCCAGCTGTCAACCACAGTGTCAAATATGAAACCTGGAGGAGGAGGAGGGGCCTTTGAATGGACGGACAGCATGTTTGTCAAGGCCTTGAAGAATGGGGACTGGTTGTTGATTGACAATGTCAACTTTTGCAGGTAACAGTTTCTGCTTATTGATATAACTTAATTAAAAATATCTGAAATTTTTATGTGGCATGTCTGTCTGTGTGTGTGGACATATTTATCTTCTGGCTGCCTACAATAGAAGTGCAGTGTTTGTCTTTCATTGACACAGCTGATGGATCTAGCATGAGAATGGAGGTGGAGGCAGTAACTGCAGCTCTCAGGTGGCTAGAGAACACGATGCATACACATGTCGTAATTGTAACTGACTCTGAAAGTATGCTGAGAAAGGTGAAGACAGGGATGCTTCGAGTAGAGTGGCAAGCTTCACTGGAAAGGTCACGGGTAGTGAGCATACTTTGGATTTTGTCTCCAGACCATGCCGGCTTGGTAGGTAATAAACAGGCAGACAGTTTAGCTGGATCTGCACCACTGGGTGGTAAATTGATACATGACAAGGCAGACGTGGTCACAGCCCTTTGGGAACAATCAACGGAGTCAGTAGAGATAGAAGATTATTATGGCCTGGAAAGAATGAGGCATCTGGGTGTAACCAGAGGGTCTGGCCGGCTCACTACACTCATAGGAAAGGCAAGACGGACATATAACCAAATTGTGGCCACTACCATCAATATTAAAACTCTACGCTGGCTGCTGAAGATGAGGACAGAGCATACATGAGAATGTCTTGAGTGCTGTGATGTCAGTTATGGACTCAACTCAACCCAGCTGATGGATTGGCTGCTGCCTCTCCTGTGGACTATAGCTTCTTTATGATAAGGACAAAGTAGTGGCTCTCTGGAATCAGGTGATTAGTTGGGCATAGCAGTATTCAATGCCTAGTGAGACATCTGGTGGGCTAGTGAGTAGAGGGTGTGGACAACGCTCAGTGGACAGAGGAAAATTTGTAGTAATCTAATCAGATTGTCACTGATGCCATCAGTCAGCAAGGGAACTTTCCACTGGCTTCCAAAGAAGAAGACTGAGCTTGTGTGGGAATGTTCTGAGTACAGGGATGTCATTTTATTCATTCGTACATTCATTCAGCACTTTTTTTTTCCAGTACATTTGTTGACCAGATAGTAGGTCTTCTAAAATTGTGAACATCTAGTATAAATAAATAAAAATCATGCATCTCCCCTAACTAACAGTGTATAATACTTGACTTGTCAAGGGTATAAGCATATGTTTGTATACATTTGATATCATTTTTATGCATATATACATACTGTGTAATTATGTGTATATTTCTATCAAAGGGCCTCACACTTTTGTTAGACATAAAATTAAATTGTCGGTAAATTATGTAAAGAAAATAATTTACACTTTTATGTTCATCAAACTATATGATAAATAATTTGTGTCTTTTTTACTGCATCATGTTAAGCAGCTTAACTCTTTTTGTCCTTGAAGATTTTGCTTCAAAAATCACTTACTACTGTTACTACTACTGTTACTACTACTACTACTACTGTTACTACTACTACTACTACTGTTACTACTACTACTACTACTGTTACTACTACTACTACTACTACTACTACTACTACTACTACTGTACTACTACTACTACTACTGTTACTACTACTACTACTACTACTACTACTACTACTACTGTACTACTACTACTGTACTACTACTACTGTACTACTACTACTACTACTACTACTACTACTACTACTACTACTACTACTACTACTACTACTACTACTACTACTACTACTACTACTACTACTACTACTACTACTGTTACTACTACTACTGTTACTACTACTACTACTACTACTACTACTACTACTACTACTACTACTACTACTACTACTACTACTACTACTACTACTACTACTACTACTACTACTACTACTACTACTACTACTACTACTACTACTACTACTACTACTACTACTACTACTACTACTACTACTGTTACTACTACTACTACTACTACTACTACTACTACTACTACTACTACTACTACTACTACTACTACTACTGTACTACTACTACTACTACTACTACTACTACTACTACTACTACTGTTACTACTACTACTACTACTACTACTACTACTACTACTGTTACTACTACTACTACTGTACTACTACTACTACTACTACTACTACTACTACTGTACTACTACTACTACTACTACTACTACTACTACTACTACTACTACTACTACTACTACTACTACTACTACTACTACTACTACTGTACTACTACTACTACTACTACTACTACTACTGTACTACTACTACTACTACTACTACTACTACTACTACTACTACTACTACTACTACTACTACTACTACTACTACTACTACTACTACTACTACTACTACTACTACTACTACTACTACTACTACTACTACTGTTACTACTACTACTACTACTACTACTACTACTACTGTTACTACTACTACTACTACTACTACTACTACTACTACTACTACTACTACTACTACTACTACTACTACTACTACTACTACTACTACTACTACTACTACTACTACTACTACTACTACTACTACTACTACTACTACTACTACTACTACTACTACTACTACTACTACTACTACTACTACTACTACTACTACTACTACTACTACTACTACTACTACTACTACTACTACTACTACTACTACTACTACTACTACTACTACTACTACTACTACTACTACTACTACTACTACTACTACTACTACTACTACTACTACTACTACTACTACTACTACTACTACTACTACTACTACTACTACTACTACTACTACTACTACTACTACTACTACTACTACTACTACTACTACTACTACTACTACTACTACTACTACTACTGTACTACTACTACTACTACTACTACTACTACTACTACTACTACTACTACTACTACTACTACTACTACTACTGTACTACTACTACTACTACTACTACTACTACTACTACTACTACTACTACTACTACTACTACTACTACTACTACTACTACTACTACTACTACTACTACTACTACTACTACTACTACTACTACTACTACTACTACTACTACTACTACTACTACTACTACTACTACTACTACTACTACTACTACTACTACTACTACTACTACTACTACTACTACTACTACTACTACTACTACTACTACTACTACTACTACTACTACTACTACTACTACTACTACTACTACTACTACTACTACTACTACTACTACTACTACTACTACTACTACTACTACTACTACTACTACTACTACTACTACTACTACTACTACTACTGTTACTACTCTACTACTACTACTACTACTACTACTACTACTACTACTACTACTACTACTACTACTACTACTACTACTACTACTACTACTACTACTACTACTACTACTACTACTACTACTACTACTACTGTTACTACTACTACTACTACTACTACTACTACTACTACTACTACTACTACTACTACTACTACTACTACTACTACTACTACTACTACTACTACTACTACTACTACTACTACTACTGTACTACTACTACTACTACTACTACTACTACTACTACTACTACTACTACTACTACTACTACTACTACTACTACTACTGTTACTACTACTACTACTACTACTACTACTACTACTACTACTACTACTACTACTACTACTACTACTACTACTACTACTACTACTACTACTACTACTACTACTACTACTACTACTACTACTACTACTACTACTACTACTACTACTACTACTACTACTACTACTACTACTACTACTACTACTACTACTACTACTACTACTACTACTACTACTGTTACTACTACTACTACTACTACTACTACTACTACTACTACTACTACTACTACTACTACTACTACTACTACTACTACTACTACTACTACTACTACTACTACTACTACTACTACTACTACTACTACTACTACTACTACTACTACTACTACTACTACTACTACTACTACTACTACTACTACTACTACTACTACTACTACTACTACTACTACTACTACTACTACTACTACTACTACTACTACTACTACTACTACTACTACTACTACTACTACTACTACTACTACTACTACTACTACTACTACTACTACTACTACTACTACTACTACTACTACTACTACTACTACTACTACTACTTACTACTACTACTACTACTACTACTACTACTACTACTACTACTACTACTACTACTACTACTACTACTACTACTACTACTACTACTACTACTACTACTACTACTACTACTACTACTACTGTTACTACTACTACTGTTACTACTACTACTACTACTACTACTACTACTACTACTACTACTACTACTACTACTACTACTACTACTACTACTACTATACTACTACTACTACTACTACTACTACTACTACTACTACTACTACTACTACTACTACTACTACTACTACTACTACTACTACTACTACTACTACTACTACTACTACTACTACTACTACTACTACTACTACTACTACTACTACTACTACTACTACTACTACTACTACTACTACTACTACTACTACTACTACTACTACTACTACTACTACTACTACTACTACTACTACTACTACTACTACTACTACTACTACTACTACTACTACTACTACTACTACTACTACTACTACTACTACTACTACTACTACTACTACTACTACTACTACTACTACTACTACTACTACTACTACTACTACTACTACTACTACTACTACTACTACTACTACTACTACTACTACTACTACTACTACTACTACTACTACTACTACTACTACTACTACTACTACTACTACTACTACTACTACTACTACTACTACTACTACTACTACTACTACTACTACTACTACTACTACTACTACTTACTACTACTACTACTACTACTACTACTACTACTACTACTACTACTACTACTACTACTACTACTACTACTACTACTACTACTACTACTACTACTACTACTACTACTACTACTACTACTACTACTACTACTACTACTACTACTACTACTACTACTACTACTACTACTACTACTACTACTACTACTACTACTACTACTACTACTACTACTACTACTACTACTACTACTACTACTACTACTACTACTACTACTACTACTACTACTACTACTACTACTACTACTACTACTACTACTACTACTACTACTACTACTACTACTACTACTACTACTACTACTACTACTACTACTACTACTACTACTACTACTACTACTGTACTACTACTACTACTACTACTACTACTACTACTACTACTACTACTACTACTACTACTACTACTACTACTACTACTACTACTACTACTACTACTACTACTACTACTACTACTACTACTACTACTACTACTACTACTACTACTACTACTACTACTACTGTTACTACTACTACTACTACTACTACTACTACTACTACTACTACTACTACTACTACTACTACTACTACTACTACTACTACTACTACTACTACTGTTACTACTACTACTACTACTACTACTACTACTACTACTACTACTACTACTACTACTACTACTACTACTACTACTACTACTACTACTACTACTACTACTACTACTACTACTACTACTACTACTACTACTACTACTACTACTACTGTTACTACTACTACTGTTACTACTACTACTACTACTACTACTACTACTACTACTACTACTACTACTACTACTACTACTACTACTACTACTACTACTACTACTACTACTACTACTACTACTACTACTACTACTACTACTACTACTACTACTACTACTACTACTACTACTACTACTACTACTACTACTACTACTACTACTACTACTACTACTACTACTACTACTACTACTACTACTACTACTACTACTACTACTACTACTACTACTACTACTACTACTACTACTACTACTACTACTACTACTACTACTACTACTGTTACTACTACTACTACTACTACTACTACTACTACTACTACTACTACTACTACTACTACTACTACTACTACTACTACTACTACTACTACTACTACTACTACTACTACTACTACTACTACTACTACTACTACTACTACTACTACTACTACTACTACTACTACTACTACTACTACTTACTACTACTACTACTACTACTACTACTACTACTACTACTACTACTACTACTACTACTACTACTACTACTACTACTACTACTACTACTACTACTACTACTACTACTACTACTACTACTACTACTGTTACTACTACTACTACTACTACTACTACTACTACTACTACTACTACTACTACTACTACTACTACTACTACTACTACTACTACTACTACTACTACTACTACTACTACTACTACTACTACTACTACTACTACTACTACTACTACTACTACTACTACTACTACTACTACTACTACTACTACTACTACTACTACTACTACTACTACTACTACTACTACTACTACTACTACTACTACTACTACTACTACTACTACTACTACTACTACTACTACTACTACTACTACTACTACTACTACTACTACTACTACTACTACTACTACTACTACTACTACTACTACTACTACTACTACTACTACTACTACTACTACTACTACTACTACTACTACTACTACTACTACTACTACTACTACTACTACTACTACTACTACTACTACTACTACTACTACTACTACTACTACTACTACTACTACTACTACTACTACTACTACTACTACTACTACTACTACTACTACTACTACTACTACTACTACTACTACTACTACTACTACTACTACTACTACTACTGTTACTACTACTACTACTACTACTACTACTACTACTACTACTACTACTACTACTACTACTACTACTACTACTACTACTACTACTACTACTACTACTACTACTACTACTACTACTACTACTACTACTACTACTACTGTTACTACTACTACTACTACTACTACTACTACTACTACTACTACTACTACTACTACTACTACTACTACTACTACTACTACTACTACTACTACTACTACTACTACTACTACTACTACTACTACTACTACTACTACTACTACTACTACTACTACTACTACTACTACTACTACTACTACTACTACTACTACTACTACTACTACTACTACTACTACTACTACTACTACTACTACTACTACTACTACTACTACTACTACTACTACTACTACTACTACTACTACTACTACTACTACTACTACTACTACTACTACTACTACTACTACTACTACTACTACTACTACTACTACTACTACTACTACTACTACTACTACTACTACTACTACTACTACTGTTACTACTACTACTACTACTACTACTACTACTACTACTACTACTACTACTACTACTACTACTACTACTACTACTACTACTACTACTACTACTGTACTACTACTACTACTACTACTACTACTACTACTACTACTACTACTACTACTACTACTACTACTACTACTACTACTACTACTACTGTACTACTACTACTACTACTACTACTACTACTACTACTACTACTACTACTGTTACTACTACTACTACTACTACTACTACTACTACTACTACTACTACTACTACTACTACTACTACTACTACTACTACTACTACTACTACTACTACTACTACTACTACTACTACTACTACTACTACTACTACTGTTACTACTACTACTACTACTACTACTACTACTACTACTACTACTACTACTACTACTACTACTACTACTACTACTACTACTACTACTACTACTACTACTACTACTACTACTACTACTGTACTACTACTGTACTACTACTACTACTACTACTACTACTACTACTACTACTACTACTACTACTACTACTACTACTACTACTACTACTACTACTACTACTACTACTACTACTACTACTACTACTACTACTACTACTACTACTACTACTACTACTACTACTACTGTACTACTACTACTACTACTACTACTACTACTACTACTACTACTACTACTGTTACTACTACTACTACTACTGTACTACTACTACTACTACTACTACTACTACTACTACTACTGTTACTACTACTACTACTACTACTACTACTACTACTACTACTACTGTTACTACTACTACTGTTACTGTATCATAATATTTTATGAAAGACTGCTCCGTATGTACTTGTCATGTATTGTTATCAAATTTATATTGTATACCGTAGGTGTTGTTTATAATTATAAAGTTTGCTTTGTAGATTCTTTCATTGATATTTGCTTGTTGAATCTCATTATACACCTTATTGACCAGTGGTTCACAGTTAGATAAGACTGATAAGAACCTCTATTATTTTGAAACATCTACTACGGATCCGAAACGTTTTAATTGTCATTTCCATTAGAATTGCACAATTTAAAAAAAAAGTTTGAATGTCTGTTTTGGGGGCCTTTAAATTATGGTACAGACCTCTGAAATTGGGTTGGTTTACCACCAGTCTGCAACCACTGTTTAGGCTGTTCATTGATATAGACCTGCAGTAGAAAAGTACTACTAGTTTTAATGTGTTCAATCCCATCATATTTTAGTATATATAAAAAGCTATTGTAGTTTACACTCATTGAAGCTTGTTTTCTTTCAAAATAATCACAGGCTGTTCTTTGCAATGGATCCACGGTATGGAGAAATCTCCAGGGCCATGAGAAACCGAGGAATAGAAATCTATCTTCTCGGAGAGGTATGACCTAGTTAAGAAATTATTTTCCTTTAGACAGTAGACATTTTAACATGTATGTATGTATAATTTAAAAAAAAAAAAACAGCTGTATGAAAAATGCGCTTAGCGTAATCTTTCCAGCGGTGAACTTTAATTTTTTGGCTTTTGGTGATCCAGCATGCTTCTGTTGCATGCTCTCTCTTTTTCTGCTCGGCTCAGAGTAGTGAACCATGATTAATTGCCTGCCACTGTGTGGACAAGAAAGGCAACACCCTCTGCTCTGTAATGCAGCAAATGATTGGAACACCATCACATGGATTCCTCCTTTTGGTGATCAATCAACATCCATGGAACTCACCGAGAACACACCTTCTGATATTTCAGTTTCTTACGAACAACCTTTCAAACTGTCCCAGTTGACACATCGAATTCTGTTACTAGCAAGCATATAGACTTTTTTATTGCTGCATAAATTTGGCTGATGAAGTTTTTTCTTGCAATAATATGTGCTTGACCTGGCCAAGGAAGGTCTGTCGTGAACTCACGTCCTTTCTTAAATATTCGTGCAGTGTGTCACTGTTATCTCCGATACATATGTGTTATTGTGTGCTGCTTGTATTCTTCAGTTAATGTCCACTAGTCGATATCCTTCAAATGAAATAAACTGAATCACCTCTCTTTGATCTTCTTTGGACACATTTGGGATCAACCTGGCCATTATCTCAATGATCAGAAACAGAACCAATGCATCATGGGATGATGAGTGTGTTTTCTTCAATTGTCAGTACTTATCACCTGACAATGGCATGATCATGTTCAGCTGATGCAGTTACACCTGGTGCGGCATGAACAGGCTTAAAATACATGCTCCTTGCATTTTAGGCTGGGTGGACTTTATGTAGGATGGTCACTTGTCGACTGGATTCAGATCTATGACCGAAGGTTGAGCGCTTTATGGACAGACCAGAGCAAGTTATTATTCTATGGCTTAGAACAGGATTTCACAACCACACGTACATAAAATTTAAAATCGACCATGTGCACATGTGGATTGGCACCTGAGACACCAGATCATGTCCTTCAAGACTGTCCCAAATACAACATATCGAGGTAAAACTTTTGGCCAAATGAAACATCAGTGCGTCAACAGGTCACTGAGTGAACTACAAACGACAGTGAAGTTCATACTAGAGACAACATTGCAGATATAGATAATTTATTTCAAGTGAACAAAGGAAGAAGAAAGTTGATCGCTAGAAACAGACTTAGTAAATTTAAGACTGATTGACTGACAGATTGACTCACTGACTAACTGAATTTTTGAAAACTGTTTTCAGGATGAAGGGGGTACATACAGCCAGGCAGACATTTGCTGTATGTTGGAAGAGGCAGGTCTGGTAGACAAGAGGATTTGTCAGTGGTGGCTGGAGCTGCACACAGCTTTGAAATCAGAGCTGTCCTTCAGTGACAGACCAGTGATGGCTGACCTTCTGCATGCAGGTGCCCTGTGTGTCCAGCTTATGAGCAGGGGGTATGGTCTCAAGCATGCTTTAGCCTTTTCTGCAGAGGATAGCTATGTGGGCAATAAAAGGAATGCCACGGCAAAACAGGTGAGAGTTGGTACTCCAGAAAATAAGACCAGGTCTTCAAATAAATGCCTTGCAGTATATTTTCAGAGGATATTTTATATTTTTATCTTTAAAAAAATCAACAGTTATTCCAAGTGCAAAATTATACATTTATTCTGATACATATATCTACATTTCTTGAAAGCATTACTGTAAATACTGTATATCTTTTTAAAAATTTTATTTTTACATTAGTTACTCAGTAATTCAGTATGCCTGTCAGGTGTTTCAGTGGACAAACAAAGTCCATCTGGCTGGCTTGCGATCTAAACTATAGATCTTTTTGGGGGTGGGTGGCTTATATTACAAGCATTGTGAAAATCATGGGGACTGAGAACTTATGGGAGTGTCCTGAGTGCTGTGATGTCCATTCTTAATTCAACATTCAACATTACCTATAATGAATACCAATGGCGGTTTGCAAAGCCGTGTAAAGGACTTTCGTTTAACTTGTTTAAATTTAACAATAATTCTTTAAATGATTTTCTATTTTTCCACCTTGAGCATCAGTACTACTAAATGTTAAATATTCTAAGTTTGGTACTAGGTTGAATTTTTTCATTTTTGCGATTCTCAACATTAAATTGCCCATTTTCAGTTGGCAAGAAACATTGTCAGTCGACATCTTGAAGCAGTGACAGAAAACTTGCCTGATGCCCCTTGCATAAATCTTCAGGCAGTGACCAGACCATGGGTAGGAGAAACCAGAAATGTGGCTAACGTCAAAAGAGACGCCACGCTGATTTTGTCCACTCTGGAAAGTCTTTTACACAACCCAAGGTTTGATTTATTGTAGTGTATAAAAAAAGTTACTTGTATGTGTGTGTATGTGTGTGTGTGTGAGAGAGAGGGGGAGATGGAGAGAGAGCGACCTCAGATAGCATCTGTTGGTGTATGAAGTTGTTTCAACTTAGGAGGCAGAGAGTCTACAGTTCAAGCACAGATCTGAAATTCCAGTGTGATGGGAATGCTCTGAGTAGAAGATTGGGTTCTTTCCCAATATCTCCCCCCAGATGACGTCATGGGACAGTCCAGTATTTTCTAGGGTGGTAAGAGCGGGTTTCCTGGCTTTCTGATGCTTTTATCCACCCCCAGAACATCTAGAACTGACCCTAACCCACCTACGTCTCACAAGAGAGTGCAGCAGGCTGTTTAAAGACCAGACAAAAATAGACAATTGTAATTAGATTGCACACTGGATGCAACAGACTCCGCAGCCATACATTCAGGAATTTAAGATGGGGGACAAGAACTTTGCTTACATGGACAAGCTTCCTGGAATATTGAACATATGCTGCGGACGTGATCTCGTCATGCTGCAGAAAGATTCCAGGTCTAGCCAGTTGTCATTCTGGTGGTGGAAACCAAGCTCTAGGGATCGCATCCCATTTGAAAAACAATTGCCGAGATAACGAGAAAAAGAAAAGTTGTGCCAGACAATTCTTCCTATTAACCAGTAAATAAATATGATTTAAAAATAATCAGTAATAATTTCCCAACTCTTAAGTTGCCTTTTTTTTTATATGCTTATGTCTTACTGTGTATTCTCATTTTTCCTAGATGGGACGTTGGGAATCGTGCCTATTAACTGCTTTCTATCTCTTGTACTGTTAGTAATTTTCTGATGCATATTCTATAAAATCTGTGATGGCAAATTGTCCAGCTTTCTGTTTTATGGTTTCCTTCTGCCTCTCTTCCCCCTAACTTTTCTGTTGTTTTGACTTGCTGCAGATTTCCACATGGCCAAAGAATGTTAATCATCTTATCTAATACAGTTAATCAGTTTTTTGTTTCTTTCAAGACACCTTTATTTTGTTTTTTTTCATAAGATTTTATTTGAATAAAAAAAAAATTTTTTTTTTAAATGTTAAATGTCTTTGGCGTTTTCATCATTCTTCTATACAACCACATCTATCAAGTCTCCACATCAATCCAAATAATCTGCAGACTGTCTTGATTTGCTTACATGTATAAAGATTGACTGTATATAGCTCCTAATAATTCTCTCTTATCTAAACTGATGTATTATATTGCATAGAATATTTTTTCAACCAGCAAGGTTAACCTGCTGAAGTCAAATGTGTCGGCTGAAAAGCACAAATATCACAGCCATGCTGTAAAGGGGCACAACACATTTACATCTTCGATTGAACGCAGAAGAAGAAAAAGAAAAGAATACTCTTTATCGTCATCGGCTTTCACTTTTACCGTTTAGTGTTGCGGGGAGGAGCAGCTTTTAGTCCAAAACTTGATGGGTAACACTGACCATTGATGTTTTGTAATTATGTAAGAGTCCTTAATGCCACCATTCCATCTTCTCCTTTTGCACCAATTGCTCTCACATCAGATATCTGCAAGTATAGTAGGTTATTGTGCTGTCTCAGGAGATGACCAAACCATTTCATATATATTATTATTCTTAGTGCCATGAAATGCTGCCTTTGCTAAGACTGTTCTACATCTAACTCCATGTTAACATTTTCCGTGTTTCAGCAGAACAGTGACCTCGGTAGGGAAAGTCCAGCTGCAGACAGCAGTTGTCATCTTCACATCTCTTCAGTCGGAGCTCAGCTGGAGGCTGGCTCTGGAGTGGACAGAGGCTGTGATACCAACAGTCCAGCCAGACCTGACTGCAGTGTCCAGCCCTGACCAGGATGTCAAACTCCTGCTGGACGGCTGGAAGACTCTTGTTTCAGACTGCCTCAAGCAAGTATTTCTGGGCTCCACTTGGAGTGAACTGTCTAGGACCCTACATGCAGTGTTTACCAGTAGCTCTGAAGGTAAGCTTATCGCTGAATGCATTTTTAGTGGGTTTTCTCTGTAACACCCCAAATTTTTTTTACATGCGCACACACAGACGCCCACATACTCTGTCTGTCTCTCTTTCTCTCTCTTGTAAGCTGTTTTACTTTCCATATTTTGCCACTGCCTTCTGAATAATATCGCCTCTCCTACCATTGTCAAAATCAGTGCAAAGCAGTCTGCTGCCAAATCACTAGGAACTGAATTGAACTGGATTGTTCATAATTACAAAGCACATTCACCAAACTAAGGTACAGGTGAGCACTTATATTGAGGCCCTAAGTAAACTTAGTCAAATAGCCCTGCCAAATCTGGGGAGAAAAATCATTCAATCTTAGGCATGCTGTCTGTTTTTAAAGACTGAAGTTAAGAAGTGAGGTTACTTTAAAACCAGACAGCATGCTTAAGGTTGAATGATTTTCTGCCCATATTTGGCAGGGCTATTCAACTAAGTTTACTCAGGGCCTCAATATAAAAAATGGTGCTAGTCACTGGCCTGAGCACAGGCATAGAAAGATCATAATACAATACAAATAGCAGTCATAATCAGGCCACTTGCTGCGCCTCCACGAGCCAGATTTGGTCTGCAGGCCACCAGTTGTATAACCCTGCCCTATGGGTTCTGGGGCATAATTCTGGGAAAACACAAGAATGGTCCTACTGCCTCCCATGCCATAAGAGTCAATTGATAACAAGTTTCCTTCAGAGTGGAGGTGCCTCTGCCTGAGAGGCAAGGAACCAACAATCTGCATATAGATAAGCCAGGCCTGTAAAATGGATGTGCAAGAAAAACTCAAGAGCAAAGTCCAAAGGTGGACAAACAACGCCAAAGTATACAGCTGGTGAACGTGAACAAAAGAAGAAGAAAAATGATTTTGAAATAAAAAATAAAAAAATAATAATAAACAAAACTAAAAAAAAATGATCATAAATAGACAGATAGTAGTTTTGCACAATTGTGTATGTGCTGTAGAAACTATCCTTCCTGCTTGGTCCAGTGCATTGATGTAAGCTCTTAAACATATTGCATTAGGTTATTATAATATGTTTTGGTTATTTGTGTTCACAAATCTTTTACAGCATTGACTTTATTGAGGGAGCAGCCATGGGACCTGACCCTCAACCCACAAGCTAGCCAACATGCAGCACTTGTTCATGCAAGAGAATCAGGAAAGGGCCTCCAGACAGATCAGTCTTCAGCATTGAACAATGTACAGAAACTCATTAGCAGGTATGCTTTGTTGTTTTGGACATTGTTCAGAGCCTTCTGACTTATGTACCGTCAGTGTTTATATATAAAGTAAAGAAAAGATCCTTTTTCACGCCTTTAGGTTTATCGGGCATATGGGAAGAGCACCCCATATTTTTACAGACCAGTCGGCACTAGGTAGGTAATGTGGTCAGCATTATGCCGGCCACCTTTACTTCCCTAGGACATGCATCCTGGTCCCCATTTTAGGCTGGGTCGACCTGCGACGCCCAATACCATGTTATAAATTCACACGCCCCAGCAGTGGGTTTCGATCGCGGTATGTTGGAATTACAAGTCAGACTCGCAACACCTAAGCCACAGACTTTTTTCCCCCTCAAGGGTATATTTATTATTATTATTTTTTTTTTTAAAAACCACATTATCTTTTGGGGGGATAGAAGGAGCAGCAGGAAACTGAACATCGGCCTGCTTGTACAGAGTGCGTTAGATTTTTAACATGCAACATTGCGTAATGGAAAGTTAAATGTGAAAATATACCAGTGTTGGGAAACAAACAGGAAGATAGACTGGCAGGTTCTGCACCACTTGATAGTGAATTGATGTATGACAAGCTAGATGTTGTGAGGGCTCTTTGGTAGTGAGTGAACAGTGTGTACAAACCGATCATTACGGTCTGAGGAAAATGCCGCCCGGAGGAGATACCAGGAGGATCTAGGCGATGCTGAGCACTCAGAGGAAAGGTGAGATGGATATACAATCAGACATCTATGGTGCCATCGGAATTAGAACTGTTCACTTGCTGCTGAAGATGGGAATGGAGTTCTTATGGTAGTATCCCAAGTGCTGTGCTGTTGATTCCTTTTTCAAAATTCTACCTACCAGAGTTAAAGTTTGGCCATTGGGAGTCCCATTTGGGAAGGGGGTGTGAGGGTGAATAGACCCACTGCTGCCCCTCCCCCAGCAAGCA